ATTCTACAGTCATTGCCGTCAAGCTATGATCAGTTTGTTATGAACTACAACATGAACAACTTGACAAAGACTTTGACTGAGCTGCATGGGATGCTTAAAACAGCTGAACCTAACATCAAGAAGGATACCCCAAATGTTCTTATGGTACAAGGGGGTAACAAGTTTAAGAAACAAGGTAAGAACAAAGGAAAGGGTAAGCTAGGCTGGACTGCGAATCCAAGCAAGCTTGATTCTTCTCCTAAGTTTAAGCCTGGTCCTTCTAATGTTGATAAGTGCCATTATTGTAATGGTTCTGGACATTGGAAACGAAACTGTGAGAAATACTTGGAAGATCTGAAAAAGAAGAAGATTTCTGAAACGTCATCTTCAAGTATTTATGTTATAAAAGTAAATGTTACTATTTCTGACTCTATTTCTTTGGTATTTGATACCAATTGTGGTACTCATATTTGTAGAAATATGCAGGGCCTAAAGAACAATAGAGTCTTGGAGAAAGGACAAGTGGACCTTCGCGTGGAAAATGAAGCAAGAGTTGCTACATTAGCTGTTGGAATATTTCATTTGTTTTTGTCTTCTTGCATGATTTTGGAAACTAAGAATTGCTACTGTGTACCTGCTATGAGCAGAAATATTATTCAATTATTTGGATTTGGAAGGATTTCATATTTTTGATTAAAAGACAAGTGTTGTTTATTTGATCATTGTGATTTCTTTTATAGTAGATGTCTATTAAAGAATGGACTTTATATTCTAAGCCAAAGCGTGCATGTTTATAACATTAATACCAAAAGATTCAAGTCTTGTGACAAGAATCAAGCTTTTCTTTAACATTGTCGTTTGGGCCACATAAGTGAGAAGCACATCAAAAGCTTCATGGTGATGGAATTTTGACCTCATTTGATAATGAATCATATGAGAAATGTGAATCTTGCTTAGGGCAAATGACTAAAGCTTCTCTTACTGGACATAGTGAAAGAGATAAAATACTTGTTGAAATTATACATACTGATGTATGTGGACCAATGAGTATAAATGTTAAAGGAAGATATTAGTACTTCATAGTTATGTTTATGTAGAAACATAAGTCTGAATCTTTTGGAAGGTTCAAAGATTTTCAGAATAAAGTACAAAATAAACTTGACAAGAAAATTAAAGCTATTCGATCCGATCGAAGTGGAAATATTTGATTCAAGCGTTTAATTTAATGATCATCTTAGAAGATGTGGAATTGTTTCACAACTCACTTCTCCGGGAACACAACAGTTGAATGGTGTGTTTTTGAAAGGAGAAACCAAACTTTATTAGATATTGTTTGGTCAATGATGAGTCATACAGATCTTCCATTATCCTTTTGGGGATACACTTTATAAAAAAAAAAAAAAAAATCTGTGTTTACTTTTAAAATCCCACTAAGAACAAAGTGTTTGTTGATAGTAGTGGTGTTTTTCTAGAAAGAGAATTTCTTTCCAAGAAGAACAGTGGGAGTAAAATACAGCTCGAAGGAGTTCGAGAAATTCAGGAAGTTCTCATAGTAAAAGACATGGGAAAGGCTACACATGTTCTTGGAATAAGAATCTATAAAGATAGATTAAGTCTGTTGAATTATGTAAAGATACTTATATCGATAAGGTCTTGCATATATTCAATATGCGTGATTCCAAGAAGGGCTTCTTGCCAATATCCCATGGCATAACTCTTAGCAAGAATCAGTGTACTTCAAAACATGATGAGCGAGAGCGAATGAGCAGAATCCCATATGCTTTGGATATAGGATCTATCATGTATGCCATGACGAGTCGATACCAATCTGTTCCAGGTGAAAGTCACTGGACAACAGTCAAGACTATCCTAAAGTATTTGAGAAATACTAAAGATAAATTCTTGATCTATGGAAGAAGTGATGAACTTGTTGTGAGTGGTTACACTAATGCCAGCTTTCAGACGGACAAAGATGGTTTCCGATCACAGTCTGGTTTCATCTTTTGTCTTAATGGAAGAGCATTGAGTTGGAAAGGTTCCAAGAAAAGTACCGTAGAAGAGTCTCAACGGATGCAAACGTTGCTGATCCGTTGACCAAGCCTCTTCCATAACCTAAGCATGAGAGTCATGCTGCAGTTGTGGTCATTAAGTATATTAAGATGTGATCTTGATTTTAGTGGGAGATTTTACGTTTATGATATGATGTTCCTATTGACATACATTTGACTATGTATTCAAACTAATGAAATTGTTTCAGATTTATTTTATTATTAGATAATTAAAATAAGTGTCCCAAAATAATTTACATCATTCTTATAAGTCATCAAGTACGTGACTTGATCATGAAACCTTATAAGTGAAAGATGGTATAAATTATTGAGGTCCCTAGTCAATGTTATTAACATGGGGCATTATTAACCGAGAATGACTAGTATGTGAGGTGATTGATGACTAAGTTTCATGGAGTCATTCAATATGTTGTATTGAAGTCAATCACATGGATATGTGTTAGAGAACACATGATCGGGCTGACCCGCTAATGAGAACTCTGCAAGATTATTATATGAGTGTCATAAGAGTTTCTCATTACGACTATAGAGTATAGTCCTTAGACCTGAGTTCGTCATGATTCTTTATTTGTGGATTAGTTCGCTTTGACCTTGTCAAACGTCAGCCGTAACTGGTGATTATAAAGGCATTGATTAGGTGTTCTATGAAGTTTGTAAGGAGCATGGATGGAACAAGATGGGATTTGTCCCTCCCATATAACGGGAGATAAATATCTCAAGGCCTATCGAAGATTTGATACTGAAAAATGCATGGCCGTGCTCAAACGAGGTGAATGTCAGTCGTTTGTTTGATCAGTATAAATCAGAGTTCGATAAATGTGATCTAGCTTAATAAGGATGACACTAGCTCTTGCCCTTATGCTGAGATCGAGATATAGAGATAAAAGGATTATGAGAATAGATGATTCTAGTACAAGTGGGAGATTGTTGGGAATGTCCTAAAATCATTTGTACTTACTCTAGTAGAAGTCGTAACGTCGAGGTTCGACAATCGTATAATATTGGGTGGTTATAATGTTTTGCTAGAAACCGCTTATAATCTATGAATTGAGAATTCATTACTAATATTATACGATCCTACAGGGTCACACACCTAAGCAAATTAGATCAATTATTATTATGTT